AAACTAATACAATTGATCAATTTTATCAGCAATTAGGGTCCGAATGATGACATTGAATTATGCGGTGCGGATAAGAAAATTGTGCGATGCGGTATTGTACAAGTGCAGTTTGTGGAAAAAAATACATTATGCCATTCAAATATCTTTCAATGCCATTCATCGATACCTTTTTTTATCAACAATATGCAATACACAAATCTAAATTTGGAAAATGGCTATAACTACATTAACACAAATTATTAAACTCATTAGTCCATTGGTTGTTACATCTTCATTTTATTCTTTTTTAACACTGCATTTTCATTTCTTTCTTAAGATGTTAATATAGACTATATAGTTCCATCACAACTTCTTATTATTTATGCATGACATAACCAACAATTTCTTTTTTGTTTTACACAAATTTTCCGGTTCAATTTTCAAAGTATAAAACATAATTATGAAGTTAAAGTGAAGCGGAAAGATTTTTATTATCATTTTGAATATTAAAGACAAAATGTTCATTAATTGTTCATATAGTTAAATCAAGTATATGAATATTAGTTGATCAAGAAGTTCATATACAGTTTAGCAAAAAAAGAATTTCATGTACATGCATATAAAGGCAAAAGTATATTAAAACATCTAATTGAGAATAATTTATTGACCATAAATCCATTTTACCAAAGCTAAACATAAAAGAGTGGTAACCATAATCGAACATGGAAGCCACATTGTAGTTGACATCTCCTTAAGGTCCAAACTCATTATTTTATTCATGAAATCATTACTTATAAATAATCACTCACCAAAGAATTTCTCTTCATCACCCAAAAAACCATCTTTCATAGGCACACCACGAAAGATGGCGACCACTTCATCGACGACCCAAGTCATTGTGTTCACAATTTCCCTTCTCTTGGTCGCTTTTCAAGCAGTCTATGCAGACTATTACCGCCAGAGGCCACCGGTTGTCCCTGCCCCCTATGTCCCTAAGCCATGGGTCCCTCTTCCGACCCCGAGCCCCAAGCCTGTTTATCGCCCTCCAGTTACCCCGATTCAACCCGCTGGCTCAATTGCTAGACTGTTCCTTGACCCACATAACGTTATTCGGTCGAGACTAGGTACGTGTATATATATATCTTTTTTTTTTGGGTAAAACCCTAGGTACGCATTTATTAGTTAGAAACATTGTTATGATCCATCATGTTAATTTGGAGACTAGGGTTCAAATTTTTTTCATTGCGATATCAATTATGGTTGGTCATTGTAGCAAGAAAACGAATTTTTCACATGCAAGAGAATTAGCTTAGATTTTGCCATAGGATTTCTCCGTT